AAATATCAATGAACTGCGCTCACCAGCACCCTCTCAGTTAATTGAGCACTACAAGCCTCCTGCAAGAGAAGACTGTACTTGGGGTTCATTCTTTCACAGCAAAAAGTGAATGAATGATGTGCTCTTTGGTAACATCTTAGATTTCTACCCTAAATACATGTGTAACATGTTACCAAAGGTAAACTTATGCTGTAGGTACTAAGCATATGGTTAAGCCCTGTGAACAGAAGGCCCTTCCATGCAAACACATTATTATTATATTTATATTATATATATTTATATAATATATTAATTATATTTTAATCAGTACACTAAATCATGTGAATTTGACCCTTTTTCAGTGTCTTTTCTATTGTAGAGATTGTTGTAGTTTCACATTCTTTGCTGCACTGCTGTGACTGCAGCATTATCAAGAAGTGTATGTGAAAGATTTTTTTGTTCTTCATTGTAGATGGAGTAAAGGAAAGGTTAGACCCTCTGTCAGCTTTTTATCACTGGGGAGATTAATTCTCTCTATCTGTACTGGCGACTATTATCACCAAAGGTAAGATGATGGGAAATCCAAATTTTTACAGCTGTCACTATAAAATTAATAGAGGGAAAATCTACCGATGACGTGATAGCTGTATAAAAGGGAGATTTCTTCTCACTTTCTGTTACATCTCCAGTATAGGATTTGAAGGGTAATCTGCCCAATGGGGCACAGATAGCAAAGAGAAAAACAATGTTTTTTAACCCTTCCCTGCTCTATCCAAAACAAAAGAATAATGTTTGGATATACTGTACATACTGTTTAACCTAATGTTACAAATGTTATTTATTTCTTGAAAGACTTGTTCACACAACACAGCGCATGTTATTATGCGCATAACTCAGGTGTGTTGGCGTGCTGATGTTCGTTTTTTCCATCCTTTATAAAAATACTTGTTGTTCTATGCACTGCAGGGGATTGTGTTGTGTTTCAGCACATCAGAATGCACTGTAAAAAAAATAATGTCCTATAACTAATTCGGTGTGTTGTGTGAACTGAAGACACAGAACCTAAAGCAAATTGCCTTGTTTTTGTGTTGGGCAATGCTGCCGGTGTGAATGAGCCCTAAATTTATTCAGAATCACTTATCTAAAATTTTTATCTTTTTTTTCAACTACTGAAACCATAATGAGATGGTTTTTATTTCGCCTAATCTGGTGTGTTTTAAGACCATAGATTAGGCAAAAATATGTATTCACAACAGATGTATACAATGTTTAGGGGTCGTTCGACACAGTTTGTTACATTAAAGGAAAAGTAAGGCCAAAGCTCTTTTGGCACTACTTCTCCTGTGGATCACAAGAGAGCACTTCCTTCTGCACTCCTGTCCTAGGTGAGCTTAATGTAAATCATCTTATTATTGAGTTCATAAACTCTTTTTTTTCTTTGTACAGCTTGTAAATTTGTATATCACATGTAGGGAGTCATATTCGGTATTTTAGGTCTTGGCCCCAACAGCTTTGTAGTGTCTTTCAGCTCCCCAGACTGTTCTCATTTTGTATAGCTTCTCTAACACTTATTAGTTCTCTCACTGCCTTAAAAAAATTATATAATAATGCTGTTGAGTAGATCTAGGGCAATAACTTTTATTACTTTTTTTTTTTTTTTTGAGACCCAACAGAAAAGAGAGAGGAAATATCTCCAAAATGAGAGGAAATCCCCTCTTATACTGTTGTTACACTAACAGATGTCCCCTTTGGAAGAGTTCACCTCTGTTTCTGTTCTGGTGACAGCTGTAAAATTCTGGACTTCCCAGGAACAACCGAGACAGCAATAAACACCTAACAAGGGTTCTAGGCTTTCCCTACTCCATAAAAAAAAAATCTCATTTGGATACATTTTACTTTCAATTCCCCTGACATTTACTCTTGTCTTCTGTAAGAATGTAACCCTAACCTCCTAAAACCTTATGTTACTATAAGGCCCCATTCACATACGTTCAGTTTGGTGTGGTGTGGTGCCACACACAACTACATACATGATTTTGCACATTAAAGTGGTATTGAATGTTTCCAATATACTATACCAAATAATTCAGGCAGGATTGAAAAAGGAAATGCTAATGATCTCATTTTTTATTTCCCCATCCTTTGCACAAAACTCCTATAGCCAGTGGGAGCATACAGCTATAGACCATTGCACTCTAAGTGAGAGTCTGACACACACACAAGCCTGTGAACCACAGTCAGAGCTGCATTCAGAAGGGAGTTTGAGCTTTGCTGGTTGTAGAGCTATAGCAGTGACAAGACAGGGGCTGTATCAGACCACTGTAGAGATGCCACTGCTTCCACCCAGATGTGGCCTGTAGCTGTATACACCTACTGGCCATAGTAGGCATGTGCTGAGGCTGAGGAAGCATATCAAACAGTATGACAATTAAAAGCTGTAATTTAAATATATTTTTCAATATCGTCAAAGGATATAAATCTTTTTTGTGCACCAAATGTCTTTGCAAACCCAGATATTACCTTGTAGAAGTGACATAATCACTATCACTGTGAAGAAAGCAAAGCTGTGGGAGGAACCCAGCAGGTCCTACTCACTACAGGCTGCCTGCAGAAACAGGACGGGTAGAAACAAGATCAGTCACCCTGCACAAGGAGAGAGCAGCAGCGACTAGTCTTTATTATCAGAACGTTCCTGGTTCACACTAGATTACTGCACATATCTGGAAGAAATACACAAAACACATCAAGAGTCAGGTAAGAAAACGCATACCTTTTGTATTCTTGTAACATTTGCTTATCCTGAATTTCATCTTTAGCATTAACTTTTACGATCCTACTTGAGTTCATTTGTATAGCTTAGCCCAATTGTACTTCCTTTATAGGATAGTAAGGTTAAAACTCTCCTCAGAATATTTTCCTGTATATGTCCCATTCAGGAGATTACCCTTGACTTCCTGTCCTAGAGAAGCAATAGGAAGTGAGAGGATATTCCCCTCTTCCCTTTTAAGACATTTGTCACCAGAACAGGTGTCCCCATTGGAAGATTTCCCCTCTATTCCTGTTCTGGCAGCTGAAATATGTTTCCTATAATGTGGAAACACAGAAAAAAGACATGGCCTTTAAGTCTTTCATACTTTATGCCAAAAAAAGGTTTGGTTATTTGTACACTTTAAGTATTAAGGTCTTTCACTATATAGCAACTTTTTACGGACTTTAGTAGTCACTAGTTCTGTTTTTTGTTTGTCCTTTTTTATGTATATTGTAAGTGTAAACATACACACATGGGGCTGAGGTTTGTACAGCTACTAGTGTTTAAATGAGTACTGACATCCATGTCACCAAAAAGCTAACTTCAAACTAAATATCCAAACCAGATTAATGCCCCAAAAGGCAATAATACTGCTGCAAACAGAAATACTAAACAAAAACAAAACCTATAATAACAAAACATATATATGCAAAAATAAACATAAAAATAAAATGTGTTCACAATAAATTATGTTTATATATTTGTTCATATGGATGTTTTATTATAGGTTTCATTTATCAATTATTTAGGTCATCCATTTGGGACAATAATTTGGATTTATTTAACTTTACTGGGCAAGTCCAGACCTTTTTTAGAGGCTTTCTAATTTTGTCTTTTTTTTTTTTTGTATTTCTCAGAAATGTTAAAATAATAGTTAAAATGGATCTCCACTAAAAACAGACCATGGCCACCCTTGTCTTCTCGAAGCACTATTCAACCTGCTTTTTTTTTAAAGAACTCAAACAAGTTTAAAAGGAACTTTATTAATTAAAGCTATTGTATTAAATAGAATGACTATGTGACAGTAAGGTGCCTTGTCACAGTATACACCCAGAGTTCTCAACCAGGCAGATTGAGGGGCTCCAAGGTGCTTGCATCATTGGGAGGAAGCAGCATTTTCAGTTTCTTTGGAGATTGGTAAAACTTTGTTTGGGTCCTGGAGCCCAGGGTTTTTTTTTTGTTGAGTCTTGGGGGGGGGGGGGGGGGGAGGAAGCCTCCAATTCTGGGTCTGCAGACAACCACTGCACTAACTGGACAAGTGCGCACAGCCCTTCTGACAACAGTTGAGGGCTCCACCCCCCACCCGCCAGGTGTTCAAGTGGCTGCAAGAGTGGCCAGAGCTGCATGTGTGCACAGAGATTCTGAGTACTATCTGGACAGTCAATGGCCTAAGCCTGTGGCCCAGAGGAGTGGCAATGTAGCCACTCAAGCCAGGGGGTTGATTAATTGCTTTGTGGATTGTGGGTGAACCCCCTGCATGAGAAACCTATGAGGGGAATTTATCAAAACTGAAACAGCTGTGCATGGCAGCCAATCAGCTTCTATCTTTCATTTTCAAAGCTTAACTGAACAAGCAGAAGATAGAAGCTGATTAGTTGCCATGCATGCTCTCTAAGTGTTATTAACTTTCTTATAAATAAAAGTGAACAAGGAAAACCCTAAAAGAAAAATTAGTGAGTGAACTGTGTCCTTAAAGCGCTACCTCGAGCTAATCTTCCTGCACTGTATACAGTGACAATAGCTGTTGGAATGTTCTGTACTCCAAAAGGTAATAAGTACGGCCCTTATTAATGTCTTTATATGTTGTTATTCCAATTGGCTTTAAAGACTATCCCTGTGCCATCCAGTGCATCTGAGAATATATAAAGTTCAAAGGTCAAAACGTGCTCACATAAATGTCAAGATTTAAAATAGTATATTAGAATTTTCTTGGTTAGATCTTATATGTGTGCTGGTTGAATTTCCATATCGCATCCTAGGGTTCAAGCAAACTGTCAGTTTCCTGGCAGGAACAAGCTTGAACTGATACTGGCTCACAGAGGTCATATTCCACTCCAACAGAGAGGAAAAAGAAAATGTAAAATGAATACTGATATGGTATCAAGCTTGTTCACTTTGGACTCCAAGTTGATTTGGGGATTTTGGCCCACAACATTGAGATGTATGTCAGGGAATAGCCGCCAACTGAGTTAGGACAAAAGGAGGCAGAAGTCTAATAGAAGCTTCCCAGGTGTGGCTGGACGTGGCTGTTAGGATGCCGAAGGCCCGGGTTTTGGTAGATGTTTGCATTCTGTGAACTCCAGTATGGTGACGTTGGTCCAAAAAAGCCAGACGATGTTACTGGCATAGACGAAGCGTGCGAAGGGACAAAGTTAACCTTCTGTTGGTGAGTGTGGTAAGGTGGCATATATGAGAATTCCGATGGATACTTGTACATAGATGTTTCGGTGGGATGAGGCTGCAGAGCTTGAGCAATCCCGTGAAAGTCAAATTTGTAGGCATAACGTTTGCCGTGAACCTTAGTCATAATATTTTTGTCATAGTAGTATCTCAACGCCCGGCTTAATTTGTCATAGTTCATGTTGGGTTTGCTTTTCCGCTCACCCCATCTCCGTGCCACCTCATCGGGGTCTGTCATTTTGAACTCTCCATTGGTGCCCTCCCAGGTGATACAGTTAGCGTTGGCACTGTCTGAGAGCAGCTCTAGGAGAAACTGCCACAGCTGGATCTGGCCGCTGCCTGTGGGAGACAAAAGAACAAGAACTATTAAATAATAAAGTCCACCTTATTTCTGCCACCTGCTGTTGTGTTTTTGTTTTTTTTGTTGATGGTGAAATAGGGGGACATCCCCACAATGTTCCATATTGAAAGATGTCTCCTGATATTCCAGTAATGACTGCAAACAATGTGATTTCCCCTTACTAAGTGTTTAAATGTTTCACACCCTGCTCTATCCAAAGATAAAAAAAAGTTTTTAACAGAAAAGCTGGCCGCTCTCCAATGACCTCAGTAGAGGACAAGGTAAAAAAAAAAAAAAGGAGTTCACGCTACAAGCAGCAGAGACCTGTGTTTTTCTGCACTAGAAGAAAGCAGGTTTCTGCAAAGCAACACAGAGAGCAAATTAAAATTGATATGACCACTGACATACATAGATGTGTGTTTTTTCCATATTAACTGTCTTAACACACTGAAATTCATATGAAAATGCATATAAATACATATTAATGCACGTTTTTTTCATGTGTTTTTATGCATGGTTTGGTGTGTGCAAGCCCTAAGTACTTTTTTGGGTAAAACATCTCAGAGTGAGACAGTCTGAGGGGACTTTTTTTTTTTTTTTTTAAATAAATCTTTGTGAAAGCTGATGCCGGTGGAGAGTGACCAAATTGTTTGCCCAAAACGTATTTTTTTGGATAGAGTAAGGTGGGAAAAAGTGTGAGGTCTTTATTGCCACTGGGGCACTTGCCACCATGACTGCGGGTCAACTTGTTTGTTCATTCCAAGTTTGAGAGCGTTGACAAGCTCCATCAGCCGGCACGTAAAGCCACAGAGATGAGCAGATTGCAGGCTTTGAGTGACAGTTACTGTGAAGCTAAAAAAGTTTTGACTGGGGTTCCACTTTAACTAATTTTGTATAAATTGTATTGTAAATATGACACAATTTCTGTATTATGTTAACAATTATCTTATAATTTATATATTCCATGCAACCGCTATAAACAATGCAAGCAAAAAAAAGTGACTGATAATTATTCTCAAACCATTTGAATATACAGTATGTACAAATAGTTTGGGAGTAAACACTCGTCACTTTTTTGCTTGCAGCTTAATTGCCTTCTAACAAGTAATCATATTAGAATAATATTATAAGTATACAGGGATCACAGTGAAAGGTGAATAGTAAATTGCAGAATCAAATGTAACCTGTATAAGGCCCTCTTTACCCTAACCCATACTGTGTTCTGCATGCGCAACCACATGCAGTACTTCATATGTTATCAATTGGCTGATAACGAATGGCAAGGGGGAGAAAAAACACATTGTGATGTAGTGTTCTGTGAGCTACAGAGCAGGTCTGTTGTCACCCACTGTACTTATGTATTGGTGTAAAATATGAAATAAATTGCACTGCAACACACCAGAGTATTGTGTGTTGTAGTAATGGGTACATTTTATTGCACCTTACTGTGATGCAGCAGAGTGAAGACAGCTGTTCTGTTGCTTCCATTAATAAACACTGAACTTCATAGTCCAGACAGCTTTGGATCCCTTGTTAAGTTTGCAGTGTAATATTTAACATTACATTTCACATAGTCTCCTAGATTATAAGCTCCGAGGAGCAGGGTCCTCCTATCCCTCTTGTATTGAACTGGATTGTTGCTGTATTGTTCCCGTTATATTGTAAAGCGCTGAGCAAACTGTTGGCACTATATAAATCCTGTATAATAATAATAATAGTCTGAATGCTAATTTGTACTATGTAATAAGTTGCATTTCATACTTATAATAATGGCCTGGGGGGTTCTTGCTTCCTGTGTAACCTACATACATTCTGCAGGATGATCAGTGAATATCAGTATGATGGGAAGAAATTATAAATTTGAGGTAATCCTCACTGAAAATCTGTAGAAATGTCTGTGCAATATGCAGAGTTGTGTAATATACTTTATTAACTGTGAGGTGGCTTTTACACTGCTGTAAATGGCTTTCTTCTGAGATTGGTGGATTGATAACCTTGACACACACACACCTTTTCAACAGAAAATGATATTTTTTTGTATACACTGTTGTTGCCCATACATAGAACTGTTTCTCAAAATGTCTGCATGAACCAAAGTATCCACTAGGGGTCAGTGTCTACTCAAGAATGTAATAAGTATGCCTGTGGAAGTTGACTTTTGGGTTCTAGGATTTGGATTGTAAATTTGAATGCTGAATTGCCAACTACAGTATAAATGTTACAGTTAAAAATTCACATATATTTCATTGCGCACTTTAGTAATAATCTGAAGAAGTCTGTAGAGAAAGCGGCTATACAAAGCTGCTATACATCTTTGTATGAGGACTACAGAGGGTGCTCAGACCTCCTTATTAATCCATAACGTCGCTTTTTATGTAAACATTCTGCCTGTTGAAAAATACAGAAACGTGCTTTTCATTTATGTAGAAATGGCGTATAAAGTTGTTTTTCTCACCTGGATTTGCCAGCCTACTGCTGGTGGGTCCCAGTATTTGGTAGGGATCTAAAAAGGAAAACAGATCATGTAAATGTGTATTCTGCATTGTGGTCTCATTTATTGTACATGCTCCCTTCACACATTTCATGAAAGCTGTGCGCCATGCAGCTACCAAATTCTTTTACTTGCAAATGTAATAGTAACTGTAGCATGGCCACTCTACAATAATTACTAATAAATAAATTAGTTGCAAAGATTGGTAATTATAGATTATTTTTACTTTGCGCTCTGATTACATAATTTTTAACATTATTCTCTTCCAGTAAACCCGTAGTCTGACAAAAAAACTCACCTCAACCTCCCCCATCCCCCTAGGTGTAATCACATATACCATTCATGATCATTGTCCCTCCCTTCACAATGCAGTTCCTATGCAAATGCCGACTTTCTTAAAGTCTGTGTAGGTTTAAATTAGCCGTACACTTAGATTGTTGTTCTCGATCATTCGTATGGAAATTTTGAAAAATTGTTCATCAAAACATTTAATCATGCCATCAATGAATCAACTAATTTCATTTAAAAGCCTTTACATTTTTTCCCCGGCCTGCTGCTTACAATATGTGTAATTTTACCTAAAAAAACACAACACATTAACAATTACAATTGAGTTGGTGGAACATTTTCCATTCCGCCCCTTTGAGTTGTTGGTCATTACAGTCAAAAACATGTTGATTTGAACCCATTAACCATTAGATAATTGAACTAGAAAATCTACAATTTCTGGGGAAATTGTGTAAAGTGTTCTTGCCGCAGCCTTTACCAAATGATTGATGAAATGTAAGCAGTGCACATTGCAAGCCTGATAGTGAGAAATGCATTTCAGCTTGTATTTTGAAGCTCACAGTCCAGCCTGGTGAGTCATCTGCCTCTTGAATGACCTTTGGTTGCTGCACCTGGAGAGGGCGGAGTAGGCTCACTGTGCTGAGACAGCTGGGTTGCTATGACAACTCACTCTGAGAGGAATGTCAGCATGGCTGTTCTAAACAGGCTTTTTAAACTTGCCAAGTTCACTGGCGATTGCCATCTTCAAACGCTTGTAGTTTTAAAAGTATAAATGCTACCGTGACAATCACAAGAAACAGACCTAAATTTTGATGTATAGTATGCCTCTGAAAGATAAAAAATGAAGGCACAGTCGCATTTTTAAAAACGTCCCTTAAAATTTCTGGTGTCTAGAGTGGAGTTTCAATGAAAGTCAATGGGAGGGGTGAGGTGCAAACAAATGGTCATATTGTGAAAACTATCAGGAGTATGTCCTAGCCGTGAACATTTTTTATAAAAAGTTGGATAGTTACTTGTGAGCCACTAGGAGTTTTCTTTTATATATAAACTCTATTGTTAATTGATATACATAAAAAATTATAAAAAAAATATATGTGAAAAAATATATAAATAATAAAATATTACAAATTAATTACGAATTAATTAATTAATTGCGTGCTAAAATTAGTATTAATTAAATATTTAAAGAAAAGAAACATAGTGTCTTATCCGGGATATCAATTATTTATTTTGATTTTTTTTTTTTTTTTTTTTATTTTTTTTTTTTTTATTTTTTTTTTTTATTTTTATTTTATTTTTTTTTAATTTTTTCATTTTATTTTTTAATTTTAATTTTAATTTTATTTTATTTTTATTTTATTTTATTTTATTTTATTTTTTTTTATTTTAATTTTTATTTAATTTTATTTTATTTATTTTTTTATTTTAATTTAATTTAATTTTAATTTTAATTTATTTTTTATGTTTATGTTTATTTTTATTTTTTTTTTAATTTTAATTTTTATTTTTATTTTTATTTTAATTTTAATTTTTATTTTCATTTTCATTTTTTTTTTTTTTATTTTTATTTTTACTATTTTTATTTTTTTTTTTTATTTTATTTTTTATTTTAATTTTATTTTATTTTATTTTATTTTTTTATTTTATTTTTATCCAGACTGAATAATAACACCATCTCATTTATACAGAAGGAACTGTCATTCCCACTGCAAATATTTTTTATTTTTTATTTATATTTTTCATTCATAGTTTTTTGTTTTTTCACATTGATAAATTAATTTATTTTATATATTTACACAAATCATATATTTAAGTATAATTAATTGATGTAATTATTTGATTATCGGTGGTACACTTATGAATTCATTATATCACATAAGGTAGAATATATTGGAGCGCGGTACACTACTGGCATTCGTGAACATTTTTAGTGACAGCAGGGTTAGCTGAACGTTTTGATATAAGATATGTGTAGGTGGGCTTGAAAATGACAGAGTGATGGCAGTTTACAAATCATGTTCTGATTTTTCCTTCACACACTGTACCTTTCTCACTTCTCACTCTAATGTGACTCAGCTGCCCCCTGAGAGTGACCTTTGGTGCACCTGTTACCTCAGTCAGTCACAGGTGTGTGAGAAGCTCTGTTCTAAACACACTTTCAAACTTGCCAAGTTCACTGGCGATTGCCATCTTCAAACACTTGTAGTTTTAAAAGTATAAATGCTACCGTGAAAAGGTTTATATTGTGACAATCACAAGAAACAGACCTAAATTTTGATATATAGTATGTCTCTGCAATATTAAAAATGAAGGCACAGTCGCAGTTTAAAAACGTCCCTTAAAATGTCAGGTATCTAGAGTGGAGTTTCAATGAAAGTCAATGGGAGGGGTGAGGTGCAAACAAATGGTCATATTGTGAAAACTATCAGGAGTATGTCCTAGCCGTGAACATTTTTAGTGACAGCAGGGTTAGCTGAACGTTTTGATATAAGATATGTGTAGGTGGGCTTGAAAATGACATAGTTATGGCAGTTTACAAATCATGTTCTGATTTTTCTGATTTTTCCTTTGCACACTCTAGCTGTGCTGTGCTGCCAATGCATTCCTATGGGAAAATTTTGCCACAAAAACCGCGATATTTCTTGAACGATTTGGCAAAACGTTCCACAAAGTAATAGCAATCCGATCGGGAACAATGCGCACGTTTTGATATATTACTTGTCTTTGTAGTGTAAAAACTGTGGGAGGAGTTAGCGTGGCAAATATGGCTATAATAAGAATATATATGTGAGATAACAATAAGTGTTCCTTGCTATGCAAGAACACTTAATAAATGTTCCAAACACAAAGATTTTTTTAACAAAATTCTACTGACGTATTGACAGACTTAGCAAGGCCCCTCTCTGGCAGTGCTTGGCACAGGGATAGGCTGGTCAGACACTGAGTGGGGATATCTCATTGGGTTCTGCTGATGCTGTACAGAGGAGGACAGTACACCTAGAGTACAGGAGGGATCTTAGCTGATTAGGTTTTATCAGATTGCAGCTTTGTTTTGTTTTTACCGGTTGTCTATTTTTAGTTTCCTGTTTGCTGGTTATTTACATTACAAATAAACCTAAAAATTTAAATATTCCATTACACTGCAACATACTAAACAAATTCCTGGAAAGCAAGTTGTCAGATGCAGGAATCAACCAAGTCCCTATGTTTATCTTGACTATGTATATATTTGTTTTTGAAACCATTTAAAAAAAAAATCTGCAGCAAAAGAAACATTTCTCCATATTGATCTCTTGCATGTTTAGTCCTAGGCCTCATGCATATGGTTGCCCGGGGATTGTACAGTTCATAGAGCCTGTGTAATGACATTCCTGGGACCCACTACTGCCACATACAGTACAGCCACTCACTGAGATGCATTAGAAGAGGTATGTATAGGCAATTCATTGGTGGCTGCCTGAAGCACTGGTATGCATGCTATCTGCATTCAGAACATGTGTCATTACAGGTGTTTGCACAACTCCCAGTGCACAACCACGTACAGCCGCCTCTTCTAATGCATCTCAGTAAGTGGCTGTACACTGTGTCAATGGGTCCCAGAAATGTCATAAAACAAGCTCTGCACACTGTACTGCCCCTGTACAGCCATGTGCATAAAGCCTTATTCTTCAACATGTTGGCACATGTAACTTGACTAGCTGTGTGGAGAAACTCTGAGTCCCACTTTTGAAGCAGCTGTGTGCCTTTTACCAATGCTTTCAATCAAAAAATATCAGCATATTTATAGAACACAGGACTGTATCACACATATGAGCCAACTCCAAAGCAAATGAATTACTGTCCATTGAATGAAACAAAATAAATAAATAATTAGCAGGGAGGAAGACAATGTAGCCATGTGACCTTGTAATGTCATGTCCTCTCCAATTGTGGAGTTATCTCTGCAGTATTATGCAGAGACCTCGGAGGGTCACAGTGGACTCCACAGCCTGCATTTTATGAGTGGGTTGTAGATTGCCGGTGCAGTTTTTATAACACTTTGGTGTCTGGTAGATTTTGGTAACCACTCCCCACTATAAACAGACCCCCTTAACTGATGACAATACTGATGTGCATATGAATGCTAACACATCAACCGCCTCTGATGCATCCCACCGCCTTTCACACAGTCACATATCATGTTGTGGAGAGTAATACCTGGCTGTGGACGTTGCTGTTCTGCATTTTTATTCACATTTTGTGTTCCTCCAATGGGAGGACCTGTAAACATAACACATTACATTAAACATGGCATAAACTACAGTCCAACATACTTCAATAAGTCAGGTGCAATTATAGGAGTAAAAGAGGAGTCATACATGCCAGTCAAAAGTCTGTGGACACCTGACCATCTCACCTTTTAGCATCTTAGTGGACATGCCATTCCAAAACCACTGATATGTATTTGCTCCCCACTCTTTGTGACTATAGCAGGCTCCCCTCTTCTGGGAAGGCTTTCCAGGAGATATTGGAGCATGAATTTGTGCCCATTTAGCCAAAGGAACATTTGTAGGGTTATGTTGGACATCCCAATTGATCCAAAGACGTATGACACATTCTACTGCCATTGTTTGTTAATGGAGTATGCAAGGTTATGTGTTTGACTTGATGCACCTCGGTGTGGCTTACACACATTAACTCAATCATTTGGAGAAGTGTCCTCATACTTCGGACATATAATGTATTGTTTAGGTGATTATTGCTCTTGTATGGCCTCCCTGTAAAGTAATAAACAGCATTGTGGCCTAGTATTTATCACTTCTGTCC